TTAGCTTAGCTTCCTCTAAGCAATGATCTGCGGCAGCCTCGCTGAACTAGGTAGCACTCGTAGTCAATCTACGCCTGAATCGTTACGACTGATCCTCTGTAAGAATGGATAAATACTTCTATTCGTTTCGGGGCATGCAGGACAGGCTTAATAAGCAGATGTCCCTGCTCGGCTCTGAGAGCATGGAGCACCTTGTTGCGCAAGAGTCCGAGGTCACAAGCGCGCACCCAGAGGCGTTTGCAAACTATGAAAATGAGCACTTACAGTAGAAGGTGTCTGCGTCGACTGCGTGTATGACACCACCGACGACGACAGATGATACCTTCCGATCCAGGTCGATCATGGTGAAAGTTAACACCTTCGAGGGTAACAATGAAGAGAATCTCCTTCTCTGGGCGAGAGAGGCCGAGATGGCTTTGGTATCCGCCATGCTTCAAAACGAGCAACATCGTGTGGTGCTGGCTATCTCCATGCTCGGGGGCCGAGCGCGAGAATGGGCTCTAACGTTTGGTGCTTCGGTTGAAGCTGTGTTCCCCTTCTGGAAGGAGTTGAAGCGTTAGCTTCTGCGAGTGTTCTCGCCGCCTATCAGGCGTATCGCGTTCCTTGCTTCCCGACAGGGAAAGAGGTAGTATTTTTTGTTTAAGATTCTAGAACTCTTATTGCCGGTATGGCAGCAGATCCTCTTCCCGAGGCGGTCGCAGTGAAAGTCCAACTGACCGCGCCAGTTCGGAGTCCCACTGGGGTGGCCAGTTTCCCGTGTGCATTCGTCGAAGCGGTGAACTTGCCGATTTAAACTTGAAGTCAGCACGACTTGGTTGGATTGCACACCCTCATAGCTCGTTAAGCGGGCATGAGCAAATGGACCTCAGCTATGAGAGAAGAGGGCAAAACCCCGAGCTGCTAGGCAGCGATTGAACACAAAAGGTGTTTTGTTTGTGGAGACACCCGTCACCTTCGGACGGGTTGTCCCTTGCACAGGGTGCGTAACGGTTTGTCGAACCAACGTTTTTCCACTAACCAGTCTGGTTTGTCGCGGAAAAACCAGACTGGTTAGTAGAAAAACGTGAGTTCTGTTGATCCGTAAAGAGATAGAGGGCAGCAGAGCCCAGCCCCTAAGAGCTGCGTGCTCTTCAACGTTTGTGCAAGCCGGGCTTGCTGGTCGTAAAAGCGAACGTGAAGAGCTTTGATAACCCATGGAGAATCTTTATCGATTCTGGTGCGTCGAGCAATTGTGCTAAACGCTTCTCAATCGAAGGAAGTCAGCTGTATGCTGAAATGCTGGAAGCGCGGGTGGGTGACACCGTCACTGTTCGCTTAGCAACGGGGACTTATGTCACTGTGCCGAGGGTCCCTGTGAGCCTCGGTGTCGAATTACTTGACTTTGGTAGCGTAAAACGCTGTCTAGTCTTAGACTTGGATGCAAGGTATGACCTTACTCTTGGTATGGTATGGCTGGAGCACCATGAGCCATAAATAGATTGGAGGTCGAAGACCTCGGGCGCTACGCGCACGTCTCCTGGTGGAGCGTTAGTGACTCATGAGCCCACCTCTGCTAGGAAGCAGAAGCGCTATTGGTGCAGGCGCTGGACAGGGACGGTAAATGTGCTGGATATCGGAGTATTCGAGCTGCCAAACACGTATCTTGGACATGAGTCCCCAGCGTGGAGCGCGGGCTGAACGTGAATTGGCACGTAACTGAGCACTGCTTAAGTATTAGTCGCTGCAGGCCAAGATTGGCATGGTTGACTAAGGGCCGAGGCATCAAGGGTGAGGTCCTTGTGATGCACGTGGAGTGGTATCTAACCCACTGAGCACTGCTCACGTTTCGAAGCAGTTGCTGCATGTCAAGAGTGGCATGGTCGGGCGAGGTCCGAGGCTTCCTGGGCGAGGTCCGAGGCTTCCTGGGCAAGGTCCTTATGATGCGCGTGGAGTGGCACGTATCCACTCTTCCGTGCCGTAAAGGCAGTTATCGGCGTTAGCATACAACTTATTCGTGTGCATACACTCAACACCGCTCTTTAATGGATGATGCGGTCTTCCTCATCTATCCTCCCGTGTCTCGTACGACTGGAGACGAAGATGTTGTCAAAGCTTGTCTGTGCATACGCCCGATGGGGCCTGAACACCTGCGTCACAAGACTATTTAATGTTGCTGGTGCATTTGACAGCTCTTGGGGCATCACCAGCCACTCCTAGAGCATCCCGCTCCGAGTAATTACCGCTACAAGCGGAATATCACTCGAGCAAACAGTAATAACCATCGACCATGTTAAGTGCGCTGCATTTTAGTTGGTACAACCAACTTATTGTTCTGAAGAACATCCTTTGTAGAAATTGGCGATTGTGTCGGAATGGTGGCAGCGTTGAGCTAATTGTAAGCGTGAACGATACGTCACTTGCCGTTCGGCTTCCGGACACAAACTGTGAGTGTCAAATGGGGAGACTTGCCCTCACGCACCATTCCTGCGTCGTGATTCGCACGGAGAAAGGCGTCAATGTTGGGCAGGGGCGATGGGAAGGCTGAAAGCCAAGGCATGCAAAAGAAATATGCAGACGGAAAAGAATGAAGAAATGTCAAAAACATTGAGGTCGGAGACCCGGTCTTTGAATCGCCAAAAACTCCCTGCACATGCAGTCTCAGCTGTCTTTAAGACGAAGCACCATTCACAGTTTATTGGACCTTTTAAGTTCGTGGCCAAGCAAGACCTAGCTTTACGCTTAACCTTTCGAGAAGAATGCGCACCCACCCGGTGATTTATGTGGGCTTGCTTAAGCGGCACCGGAATCCGGTGCAAGTGAATGCGGAAGCGTTGGCGCCGGGGCGGCGCCTAAAGGTGCCCCGCATCCCAGAAGTTGAACCAGCAACTGGTTGCGAGCACGGAGAGCAACAACTTCCGTTTCCAACGGCGCAAGGTGCTCCACCGTCACACGAAGTGACATAGTTGCTTGCTCGACGTATAAGAGCCGCTTTGACGGGGCACAAAAATTCTCAACGCAAGGCAGTAAAAGTATTTTAGGCCCTCGAGGTCCTCCGCACAGCTGTAGACGACTTCGGAGAGACGCTCGGCAGAATGCCGATGACGGCGGATTTTGCATTCCAACGCTACTAGAACATCGCAAGTCACAGGACGACGATCGACCAAGTCGTTATCGTCCGCCACCAACTCTTCCCAATAGGAATAGTGGCGTCCACTACCACGTGAAATGGCGTGTGGGTCGACGTCGTCGACGGGGTTTAACCCAATACTTTGTGAAGTGGCGGGGATACCCAAACTCCGAGAACTCGTGAGAGTTTGAGTGCCACTTTGACAAGACTGCCCAGACGTCGTAGACGCTTATGATCAGAAGGATCATAACGCTTCACGACTTGCACACCGCGCTTCTCGGCAGTAGCCCGAGTAGCCGGGGGGCCATGAGTTCAACTCAAGCTATGGCCCTAAGCTGCTGTGGACGTAGACTCACCCGTATGAGAAACTATAGAGCTAGCAGGAGCGTTATGGATCGTTCCGTATGTCGCAGGGCGACAATACGGAGGAAGTCGGCGTTGCGCCTTGAGTTTGGCAATCTCAAATCTAGGATGGCGCTCAATGCGCACGTTCACTTCATTGTGTCTTCGCTGTCTAACTTACAGCGAAGATAGTTTCCGGTTCCGCTGCACCCATTTCTCAAAGAGCACATCATTATCTGCCGCGAATTCACCAGGGGCGAGCACCACAGGAATGGTTCACATTGTGGGAACAGAAGCACCTCCTTTTTAAGCTCGAAGTCGAGCGCGGTACCAACCCATTGGGATCAGATGGGGTACCAAAAAGCGAGCTCATAAAGCTTTATGCTGATCAAGCTCAGCTTGTGTCGTAGCCGTAGACCCGACTACGTAGACGCCTAACGATCGAGTGATCGCATCTTTTGTTTCTGTGGCAGGATCCGCCGAGCGGAAGACGTATTCCAAACGGGGGTCTAAGATAGAACGTGGATACGAGCGCAGGAGAGCCGCCCTGTCAGCAGCTTCCAGTTGCTGCTTTTGTGCCTCATCGAGGCAATTGGTAACAATACCACTTCCCCCAGAAGCCGAGAGGGGAACACCATGGTGTTCGCGGGGTTTTAGCTGGGCTCATGTCGCGCCGTTAGCGCACTTCATCTTCCTCGTCATCCCATGGTAGGAAAGGAGTGTCCGACTCGTAGTCGATTTCCTCCAACTCCTCGACGAGAAAATCCGTCGCCTGGCTTGGGATTGCTTCCCGTAAAACCGAGGACAAACTTTCCGGGATGCGCCGCGTGCAGAAGACGAAGAAGAATTCTGCCCGCGGGCGCCCTCGGAACCAGCTAGGTTGGGCGTTGTTTTTGTGATAGACACAGCAGAGAATATAAAAAGATGGTCCTAGGGACGCGACGGTGTCTCAGACACGCGAGCCTCGTATATGGCGACCGTTAAATGTGAATTGAGGATAGTCACAACTTCAATGGGGAAGAGCGTAACGATTTACACATGCCCTTGTGAGAAAGGGCGGATCGCAAAATCTTATGCGACCGTATATAGGTGTGTAGCACACAATTAGTGTATTAGCACAGTGATGTGGCTACACTGTAATAAGAGCCCACCACGTGGCAGAACGGCCAGTAGTAATGCATATTAATATATTGATGAGGTTTTGCTAATTAATTAGGAACTTTTATATTAGTAAGAAAAACCTTGGATTTTAGATATTGGCGGCTCTGCCGCAACTTGAACAATAAAATACAGTTTTTTTTTTAATTAAAGAGTTCGTTTGCCTTATTAAGGCTTTGGTATTTAGAAGTAGCGGATTGCGAACTGCTACACTTGTACTGTTTCTTGGAAAAAGCTTGAGGTTGCTGACTTCAGCTTAGCCTCCTCTAAGAAAAGAGCTACGGTTGCTTTGCTGCACTTCGGGCCAGACAATCATATGTTAAATTACTGATGATTTCGGGGACGGATTTTGGGACATGTGATTACAGCTCGCGGTCACAAACCTTGCATCGTTATGCCACCGACAGCATTACCCACTCGGCCATCAACGTGTGGTGGTACATTATTACGAGCCCGTCAAGCTCAAATTACGGTACGAAAAAAATGGCGAGAAAAGACATTTTGATTGCAGAGCGCTGTGTCGGGTGGCAATACATATGAGTTGGTGGGCACGCGTGAAACGAATCAACAGATTAAATCCTCACCGGATCAGTCTCTTTCACCAGCTGGCATTTAATAGGTATATAATGTATTTAATCATCTCAATAACGCGTGATAATATTAACATTGTGATCTTTGAAGACTGTCTACCAAGATGGGACGCCTTGCCGCTGTCAGCGATTTTGTAAACCGTGAGAATACAGGCAGCTAGTTCTTGACAAGGGTTTAATACCACAGCTGGCGGTAGCCAGATTGAGATCCAAATAATAATGGTTTTTGTTCAAGGCGTTGGGCGCTAGATTGGGCATGTCTAACATTGAACATCTGCAGACAGATGGTCAGACGAAATGCGTTTATTGTGTACTATAGAATTGCCCATTTGAGTTGCTTTCGCTCGTTGAGCTTGCATAAAAAAGTGCTATCCATACATTCACCGACATTATTTCTTTCCTTCAACTGCTTTGTCAGACCCCAAGCTACTAGATAATATAACGCTTCAATCCGCTGGGTTATTTTTCTTTATTTTCTTTAATTTCTTTAATTTCTTTATTTTTTTATATTTCTTTTACGAGTCGCCAACACAGTATCCAATTACTAGGTTATTAGTGAACTTGATTGAGTTTGTGGCTTATCTATTTATTTCTGTAGTTGTTTATCTTTGACATACCCGGGGTCCCGTTAGGTATAGTAAATCATGTTGTAGCTAGATTTCGAATTGGTGAATTAATGCACCTGGGAGGATTCTGCGCGGGTAGTTCGGTAGTAAAGCGTTCGATTGCAGGGGAAAGGTCGCTGGTTCAATACCGGTTCCCCGATACATATTGTAGGTTGTGATGTCGTGACTTTGACTGACCAACAAATTATCGTTACCATTTTTAATGGCTCAAATTGCTTAACACCACCACAGAAATGCCCCCGATCTTGGTGGTCTAACCTTCGTCGCAGAATGATAGAAAATATCTCAATGATGTGGAGCTTCATACGCTAGGTGCGTGACACAAATGCTGAGCAGCAATAAGCCGATGCAAGAGGCAGGAAAAATCAAAACAGATGTGAAGTGCGGTAAAAGCTTTTTGAATGCGGTCGGGCAAACCTACACATAATCTACAAGAATAAATTTTGGCAACGCTGCGTCGGAACGCTTACGGTCTTAGCAAAAACGTGTCTGAGTTATACCCGTAACTTGCCAATGAGGTTGCCTAATCAACCTGTAATTCATGTGGGGTCACTGAAGTCGTATCACAAACCCGCCTAGTGAGCTGGTTGGATGTGAAGCGCTCATCACCTATAGCTGCACTATCATCTACTCTAGAGTAGCGACGCGTCTCTGATTCACTGGTGCCTTATCAAACATAGCGCGATGGTATAGGTTAGATGGCTCCTCGAAATTTCATCTATCTCAGTTGCAGACACTCGCCGAACGCTCGAAGGTAATTAACGTGCCACCACAACCTAGAGAGCTCACGATAGTCATTTGTGGGATAATGCTTATTTTGTGACACTGCTCGATGAGTAAGGGGTGACGCAGAACGTTTACAAGACCGACCGAAATATCTGGTGAAGAGAAAGGTATATTCCCGTTTGAACCCCCTCACGGGGAGCTTGATGCTCTACTTCTTCAAGAGTGTCCTGGCACTTGTTGCTTACAACCTGGCGCGCAATTTGGCCATTATGGCTATCGAAAGGGGGGATATCTGCACAACACAGCGCACCGAAGAGAGATGGACGACTTGTCATGTATCTCACCTTTGATCCGTAGCTTTAATAATTGTCTCATGGACACGAGCGGGGATGTCAGCCGCAGGAAATCGCGTGGATGATGACTTTACGCCTTAACATCCGCGTTACATTTTGCAGAGTAAAGCAAAAGTTGACGCCATATCGGGCATACAATTTTTGTAAGAATGTTATGCAAAGTGGCTACAGCGTGTATACTTTGCGACAACTGTAGAAAACGTTGATCATTGACTGACTAGATTAGATTTAAGATTCTGCGCATTATGACCAAGTCATGTTGCGTTTGGTTGATCGACTTAAGTTCGACAGATGGATGAAGTGCACGAAAAGAACATGAAGAACAACAGGGCTGAGAGTTTGCAAAAAGGCTCGCAAAGTATAGATTAATATTACGTATTCACATGAATCTCAAAAAGCAATGCTCAATTACATTTTTTATGATATGCACAAGCCCCGCCTTCTCTACCTCTGACTCCGGGCCCAAGCGGTTAGTCGCTTGATCTAGGACCGATAGGAACCTGGATCAACATCCATAGAATCCAAACTCAAACAGCCGGAGACCGATCATTGAAAAGGACGACCAATCACACCGAAAAACAGTGTCTATTCTGCCAGTCTGCGCCCGAATGGGTGTGTGATAGTTGGGTGGACTGGATGCCCCAAAAGCTCCATAGGATACTGATGTGTAACTCGACACATGAGAACAAAAAAGAAACAATATATCAGCTGGAATATAGTCGTACATAGCCACCGTCAGGCGTGCCGACGAGAATTGAACAGAGAGATTTAAGCTTCAGGAACGCACACGGTGGGATCAAGCGCGGGATGCTGGCAGATATCCGAACTTATTTAGGACTGGGGTTCTTACACCTCATTACACTATGGAGCTATTTCGGTCAGTGGGGCCTCCAGTCCACCCAACTATCATACACCTATTCGGGCGCGGGCTGGCAAAACAGACACATTGTTTTGATGTGTTCATCATCTTTAATGACCTGTCTCTGGCTGCCTTAGTTCAAATCCTCTTGATATTGATCTCGGTACCCCCCCACCCCAAGTCAAACGACTAAGCCACTGTCTTTTACGATTGCCAAGTGCGCAGCAGGAAAATTCGAAAACCATCTATTGCGTGCAAATGCCGCACAGAAATTTGATGATTATAGTGAGCACTTTCATTGATTAGTAATAATTCTTGCATGGTCAATTCCAGTTGCATCTTGCTGGTCGACTCTGCAGTGATGCAGTTCATAAGTACTCAAAAGATATAATAACGTGATTTGAATCGCAAAAATAACTTTAAACTAAAGATGGCCAATGTAATGCACTTTGCACATCACCAAATAAGGCTCACAAGACCTTTTCTTTGGGTTAAAAGCCAGAGCTTAGTTGTTTTGCCTCGCACACTGACTTTAATCTTGCTATAAGCCCGATCCCAACTGCATAAATAAGTCTTATAGAATTGGCTTTCTAGCTTCGAAGCTCAGAATGAAAATGCTTCCGGAGGAGCGCGAATTTGAAAGTTTCAAGCACGATTTCACAGAGCTGGACAAAGTCAAATTCTATGTTCGGGTTCCGGAAAATAATGTGTATCATCTACCAAACGATAGCAGACCTTGGGACTTTTGACTCGGTCTAATGTGGTGTGCGTGGTCGTGTCCGCGAGTATAATTCGAGGAAACTGGACACAGCAGCAATGGTTTGCACTGTGCGATTGCGTACATACACTTCACACTTTAGCTAAATTTGGCAAAAATATCATACTGAACATATATGGTAGATCATATCACGCTTTTTTGTAATCAAGTATATTCAATAGAATACAGGGGTTATTACTATTAAAAATCGTGCGACTTTGCACAGGAGAGATCGTGATACGTGTGAGTTAGTTGCAAAGTAAGTAATACAGATAATTAAATTTTGAAAGATGGTGAAAACATAATATTCACATCAATAGTATCAACGCTCAATGTCACCTATTAAAAATAGTGCAATAAATCTAGGTAGTTATGATACAACGTATCGGTCTCGCTCTGGTGTAGACCGTACGCGCCAACCGTTGGGATTCTATTCATCTAGACCGCGCTTCATCCTAGGAGAAATCGCGGCATCCTCGTCAAGCTTAGTAGATATTATTACAAATCCTACGACAGATATGTAGAAGAGCCCTCATATTTGTGCGCTGGATGACGCGGTGTTTGTCGTTTCCTAAATAACTAGAGCATAATGGAATCTTATGTCTAGTATTGGTTTGTATTGATTTGAGAGGTGGCGGAAGAATCGAATCCACTTGCTTTAAAGCAACTCACAACACAAGAAATCTGAGAATGCGCTGACGAGACCTCTCCAGGAGCGCCACAAATAGACGTCGGAGTGTGCTCAGATGACACTCACCGTAAGGCTGATGATGCTGAGCTTTTAATTCTTTGAAAGCAGGACAAATCAAGGCATCCCTCTGAGATACAGAAACCGACATGGCCTTGAGCTTGGTCGCAGGTTAGATAGAGTAATAGGACGCTGTGCTTGTATCTCCAATATTCATGGCCACGCGTAAGAATGAAAAGTAACTACGGCACGCTTGTAAGAGATGCGTTTCCAACCTTAGTCACCTTGAAGGGACATGTGTAACGGGTTTTCGCAGGGGTATCGCTATGTTAGAGATTCTTGTCATCACAAAGGTGACATAAATCACTGAATCATGTTCAGGGTTTGGTAAGAAGTAGTGGCATAATGGTGCTGGAATTTCTGTCGGTGGATCATCTTCATGAACAAACTCTTAACTGATGCGACTCACACCAATACTTTATGCGTACCCATATGTTAAGGAAGCGATGGGTGCCGAACTGGATACAAAATACAAGTTTCGTGCTCCTAGGATAAAATACGACACATTGTCAGCAACGCGGTCAATATCAGAAGAAATCATTTCCATTAGCTGTTGCTCCACGAATTTATTCAAATATTGGCGATCACTTGTTTGCAGTTCAGGTTTAAGATTCTTTGCCCGCATCAACATCATCCATTCATTCTTGCAGCTATCAAAAGAGCAGTGATAAATTGCTTCCAGGAGTAACAACATCTAGCCAAAGGCAATGTTGATTGCCTTGCCGGTTTCGTTTGTGTTCCCTAGATCCATGTGTCGGTTCGAATTGTAACAAGCATGTTTGCAGTTCGCTGTAAAGCGTCTTTGTATGCATCCTCGTTAGGCATGTTTCCTAGCATCTAAAAAAAGCCGAGTGATAGATGGTGTCCATGTGTAATAACATTAAGCCAAACATAATGTTAATGGTCTGCCATATTCGTTTCTATCCATCAGATCGACGACGATCGACGTTCTTCATT